CTGCTTTTATTGACGCCGCAACAAACTGGGGTGGGTCTGTCGGCGTCAGGGTTTTCTCAATAACCCAAAAGTCGCATTATTTTGATTTCCCATTATCGCTATTGTTTTCACCCCTACTTCCTCACAGTGCCCTTTGTGGGAGGTGCACCCATCTCTCTTAGTCTCTCGTATGTCAGGTGACCGTTTTTCGACCAATGGTTCCTGATCGGGCATTTCTTTCTCTTCTTTTCTGCAGATCACGTGACCGTTTCCGACCAATTGTTATTGATCGAGCATCCTTTCTCCTCCTTTCGGGCGTGGTTACATCGTTCTTGTTTTTTTAAAAAAAAATCTAAGTTGGCCTTTTTTTCGCACGTACGAAAAAAATGATAATCTTGGCTTTTTCACCTGGGTTTTGTCAACACAGCCTGCCGCTAATTAGTTGTGACTTCAGGAAAGAATATTGTCGCCATCTGTGATCTGAGACAATCGTTTTTTTTTCTTGTTTTTGGTCAGACCCGACAGTCAGAAAATCTTAATTATCTACATTGAAAATATCTTTCCCTCGTCAATGTGGGGGTTCTAATTTTTAACAGGTCAGAATCTGTATATCGTTCCACCGGTCACTCCCCTCAACCCAAAAGACACTTTTTTTTCTGATTAAGATTTCGTTTTCATTGTTCCCAAAATTTCTCTTTATCCAAATTGATAAGATGTCTTTCTACGCAAAAGTAGGCTAGATGCTTTGACCGATATCTGGTTTTCATCAAGCGGCCCGTTTTGATATCATGTCTTTTCCCTTTCTTTCTTTTTTATTATTTCTAATTCTATTCTTCCAATTGTCTTTAAAAATTCGGTCAACATGCTAGCTAAGATATCTTTCTGACTCGTGTTTTTTTGTTAATGACCGCTTTTTGTATTTCTCGACCTCTCTTTTTGCTTTTTTCTTTTTCCTCTTTTTCCCCTTCCTTCTTCTTTCCTTAGGATCGTCTAAAAGTACAATCTTAGTGAATTATTTTCAACTCAATTATTTTCCGTTTTAAAAAAAAAATCAACAACCTGTTTAGTAAACCGAGTAAAAAAAAAAAAAAATTAAATCATATTTCTATGAATATTTCTAATAATGCAAGGTGCCACATATATAAAAGATTTGAGAAAGACTATATGTATGCATTTTACGTAGCTGTATTAAGTTACAGTTCTGTCGAACTCTCTGCATTAGCAGGGAGGAACCCGGACGAAGCTTTGCCGAAGGGCAAGGTTTCGTTCGGGGAGGTTATGACAGCACTCGAACCCGCCTAGGCGGGTTCGATGACTATATTTTTGGCCGGGCCTACGGGCTCGGGATACCCACATTAAACTCGGCTTTGTGCCACATTCGATCCTCGTGGGGGGATAGCTAAATATTTTTATGCACTTTACGTTTTCTTTATCTTATCATTCTGTCAGATTCCGATCCATATTTGATCTCCATTTGACCCCAAACTCACAATTTTATTCAGTATTATTTTCTCTCGTGTATCCAACACAATATAACAACCTGATGATAAATAACATTTGTTTTGTTGCTTCCACGTCTTGCTTTTTCTGATTTTTCCGAAAACTTTTGTATAAATAAATGTTGGGGATTTTATATTTATTTACTGGGAGTTATAACTCCTTTATAAAAATAAAACTTTGGCATGAACATAATTTCAGTTTGTTTGAAGAGACTACTGAAAATTAACATTTAGTGAATATTATGCTTTTCTTCTAAGGATTAGAGTGTAGTATCTGTGTAACCTCTTCTGAACTGAAATTATTAATGCTTTCTAACCGAGAAACCAGTATAATAATATTATTCAGGAAGGCTTTGGAAAAAGCAGAGAGACGAGCGTGAAACAGGAACAGTAAGAATGTTAGAGAAAATTGAAAAGAAAACTATGTGAAAGGAATATATATATATATATATATATATATATATATAGATAGATAGATAGATAGATAGATAGATAGATAGATAGATAGATAGATATTTGAACAGGCGTAGATAGATAGATAGATAGATAGATAGATAGATAGATAGATAGATAGATAATATTAGTGGTAAATATACATACATATGCAAAATATATAAACACCCATACATGTATATTTTTTGAATAAAAATTCAAAGAGGAAGAATCCAGGTAGAACTCAATGTTCAGGACAGAGTAAGGATATAATAAAAAGGCTTAAACACTATATACAGATAGTAATTGTTAGGAGGATTTGATAATTATATTTTAATTAATTCATCGAGTCTGATAGAAACCTCAACAGAATGCAGAAAGCACTGGACGGCCGTTTCGTCCTATATTTGGGACTCATCAGCAGTGCACATCCACTACCGAGATGCGCACTGCTGATATATATATATAAAGAGATATGGAGATGGAGACAATATAAAGACATACAGAGATAGGATTGATTGTTGGATATCAAGAAACACTGAGTGAAAGGTTGAAAATGTAAGTTGGGGGGAAAGGTGTAAAAAATACAATTATTAACATTCTTGAGATATATATATATATATATATATATATATATATATATATATAGGAAAAAACTATGACAAAGTGTAAAGTTTTCCTGTGACGCAATTTGACCTTTAGGACTTCATCGGATTAAAGTTAGGAAACTACCCCGACGATGACTTAAAGGGCGAAACGCGTCACACAAAAACTTTTACACTTTGTCATAGTTGTGTCCAAAAATTGTTCTTGATATCTAAACATTTGTTGCGGATTTGAATCAATCCTCAATAAAGAAAAAGGCGGGAAATATTTTTAATAATATATTTTTGTTTTCGTGTTTTATCGAATTAAATTTTTCATAGCGTCTATGAGTGTCAAAGTTCTTACAGTTCTTGTTCGTAATTGTTTGTTAAGATGAAAAGAAATGTGATTTCTTCGCATGTATGTGTGAAAGTGTGAGAAAAAGAAGAACAAGGGAGAAAGTGAGGATGAAAGTGTAAGTGTCACGTAGCTTGATGAGAAAGACGGGTGAATGAGTAAAGAAATTTATTTTAAACCGAGACGTCATGAACTGCTGTCGTATGTTGCCGTCTATTCTCCTTACTGGTTTGTCAGATCCAGAAACTTTGCTTATATACTCTTCAAAGGGATCACGAAGAATCTTTTTTTATTATTATTATTATCGGTACGCGAACGCAACCCGTTGGTTGAAAAGTGTTAAAACGTTTCAAAGGATTAATTTATTAACCAGAAGGCTCCGAGAGCCATTTTTTTTTCTTTGGCGTTTGACTGTCTTGTTGCTTATTTCCGTCTTAGCTCCACACACACACACACACACGCACTGTTTTCAAGCAAGTTGGGTTAATTTTCCGTGTTAATGAGGATTAATAATGCATTTTTGTTTTGTTTTCTGTTGTGTGACTAACAAAAGTGTCTTTTATATAACACATTATTGAAAACAAAGATAAATGAGCATTTACTTTTATTTATTTATTATTATTAATGCCCTATTTCTTGATATTGATCATAAAAAATACAAAGAGTACTTGCCTAAAAAAAAAAAAAAAAGATAGCATAAAGAATTACCCTGGTGGTAAAGTGTTTACTTTCATTCTTTTTTCTTTTTCTTTTTTTTAACGTAAATTTTGGACAAAGTCGGATGGAATGGTAAGAAAAATTTGGAAACTTCTAATTTGACGTTTTGCTAATAAATTGAATTCATCAGAAAGAAAATTATTTTTCTGATGAATCTGAGTCATTAGCGAAACATGTCAAAATAGGAAGTTTCAAAATTGTCTTTATATATATATATATATATATATATATATATATATATATATATGAAGAAATATACTCTTAAGGTGTGCTATATTTATGGGATAAAATGCTCAATATCAGAGATAGAGCGTGTGTAAATATAAAAGTGAACATTGAAGTCAACACTTAGAGGTGGTAGGCTGTTTCATGCTAGACGCAATCGTCAGGCCACCATATATATATATATATATATATATATATATATTATGAATAATATAATAATTTATAAATATTGCTGGTGTTAGTTAACAACAGTGGTCAATGTAAATAACAGAGCTATCCCTCGCCGCTATATATGAGATAACGATCAAGAACTGGGAAAATAGTATGAAAGTGGAAAAAGTTTACTTTATTACTTGTACCGCGTTTCGTCCTTCAGTGTACTGTAACAAGTAATTTTATTTTCCACTTTTTGTTATATATATATATATATATATATTGATAATATTAGTGGAAAATATACATACATATGAAAAATATATATCTAAAAAAATTTTCATACATGTATATTTTCAGAAAAAAAATTTTTCCAAGAGGAAGGATATAAGTGATATCTAAGGTTTAAAAAAATAAAATTCTAAAAATGAAAAATCTTTCTTGAAGCTTTTTTTATTTAAGTTTTAATTTGATATTTCGAATACGCAATAAAATGATAAAAACTAAATAAATAGAAAAGGTTAACTTAATTCACCTAAAACAATAAGACCTGAAAAAATGAACATAAAAATAAAATAATTTTTTTTAGTCTTCAATTACTACAGAATTCTATTCAACAAAATGTATATTTTAAAAAAAATTTATTGTCAATATTATTAAACAAGGAAGGATGTTGCTTCGTTAGGTTAAGTTTTTAAAAGGTGAGACTTTAAATTAATAATGAAATAAAAAGCATAATTAATTTACTTTACTTTAAAGTTAACTAAAAAGGTGATCTTAAATCTTTCTCCACTCCTTCAATTTTTTCTTTTAATTTGCGGAAGTAGGCGTTGATTCAAAAAAGACACAAGGACATTAAAAAGAAAAGAAAAAAAGAGAGAAAGTGATGAGTAATAAATCGCTATTTGAAGATCAAGTTTTATTTTGAGTGCAACATTTAAACATGGCCGCTGTCGCCTAAACCTGACAAGAAGTGTGGCAAAGTCTTTAGCAAAAAGTAGATTAAAAAAAAAACACACAACCTTAACTGACTATTGCTTTTGGGATTATGAAATGTTCGACTTTATGGATTCCCAGTTCCGTACACGATGGATTTTGATAATCAGTGTTTGTTGGATTCTAACGTTTCTCCGTAAGTTTCGTTTGTTATTCTTTATTTTTTAAGAGAATCGGGTTTTCATATTGATCCCTGACTTTATAACCACCTGCTTACTGATGCGATGATTAACAGTTGGTTGTTACTTCAAAAGTGCATTTTTCTTTTCTTTTTCCCAATGAATGCATTTCAAATTTAAATATTTGTAACTTTTTCTATTGAATCCAATATTTAAAGATGTTTTATAAATGCAAATAGTTTATTTTTCCTCAGAAGGTTTAGGGGAAAACGTGTTGATTCGCCCGGACATCCCAACCACTTGCTATTCAACAAACATGGAGAAACCCTTTCTCACAAAGAGCCCCTTTTTTTTTAAAGACAAACTTATTAAACTCGTTTAACTTTTAATTAAGGACCTTTTATGTAAGGATTTTACGTGATTTTTTTTTCCTTTTATTGAAATTTTATTTAATTGTTAATTAAAAAAAAATAGCATTCATTAAGCCTTTCTTGTGTGTTCCTGTTTTTAAGGGAACAAACTATCATAAGTGACTTTTTTAAAAAATATGCTTGGCCTGTTCGGATATCGTTTTATGCTTTTTAATTCATAAAAATATTCTTAAAATTAATTTTATCTCTGATCTTCATTAAGATCATATCATTTTCCACTATTTTGACTTTTTATATCCGTTAATCTTGTTTGCTAATTACAAAAATGTAAAATTGTAAAACACTTACTTAATTTAAAAGTAAAACATGAAATAACAAAAAGAACCAACGATTTGATTTGATCATAACTTTAAAAATAATTAACCAGAAAATAAAAGTATTCCTGGATTTTATTTTTATTAGCATCTTGAGTTATTAATGAAAACACTTGAAAATAAATTATGATAAAGTGGCTTCATTATACAAATCGACTAAAAAAAAATAAATTGGAAAATTACCTACTTTACAGTACTTAGCAACTTAAATTGATATACAAAAATTACAGCAGCTCCCCCCTCTCCATGTTACTTCTTTTTATAAATGTATTTTTTATTTTATTTTTTTGCATTACTCTTTAAAATTTTAAGTACAGAAAAAGAAAGCCTAGTGGAAAACAGAAATTTAAATTTAGTAGTCAACTGGGTCCCTCTTTTTTGCTTCTTTTCGTAGTTTTTTTTTTAAATAAAAGTAAATCAGATATTTGTTGTTTAATCAGGTTTTTCACATGCGATTTTATTTTATGGTTATTATATTAACTAAAGTCGTACGTTATAATTTTTTTGCACATCCTTTTTGCTAAAGAAATTCTATATTTTTTTTTCTTGTAAGTTACGAAATAAAGCTAAGTAAGAAAATATTTTAATGAATTTAAAATATGGAAGTAAAATTCAAAAAATAACCGACTCTGAAACTACTGTGACCAACCTGAGACAGGTGTGTACAGGTAAATTTAAAAATTAAACCACTTTTTCCTTTTTACCCACTTGTAGTTTCAATTATGACGATGTGAATAACAATTAATAATTATAAAACTGATTTCTGTAGAATATTTTTTCTTACTGGGAGGAGGAGTTGATTGATAATGTTTTTTTTTTTTTTTTTTTTTTTAATCGTACAAAACAAGGCGAAGAGAAAAAAAAATTTTTGTCGTTCTCTTTTTCGTCATAAAGCAAGGGAGGGAGGGGGTTCTGTTTGCTTCTCTTTTTTTTTTTTTTTTTATTATACCTCCTCCTCCTCCCTCAGTAAAGTATGAAAAATAAATTGTAAAAACTTTATCTTCTACAAAATAATATTTTTAATTTTAACTTTTTTTTTTTTTTTTTAAATGGATCGACTCCCCTCGAATATTCGAAGGCTTGAGGTGGATATAACTGATCTTCTAAAAGTAAGATTGAATCTAAATTAAATTGTTTAGTTTCCATATTGTTGTTAGTGCAAGACTGACTGCAGGGGACAGGAAACTTAGGTGACTCGGGCGCACACGTGCATCTTGATTCAGATGAACGAATAAGTTTTTATAGTCTATTTCGACAACTTTTTTTTTTTTTTTTTTTTACTAGTTAAAGCCTGTGTAACATTTTCACTTCAGTTATATAGCCTCATTTTTATTTACATTGGGTTGGGAATGACTGTTTTTTCTTTCTTTTTTTTTGTTTAAAACAATGTATTGTACAAGTAACTAGGACCTGGGCGATCATGTCTCTTCACAGCTTCCAATTTTCTGCAACTCTCCGCAGTAATTTAACTTCCTATTTAATAATATGGCCCTTTTTTCTCCCTGCGGTATATAAATTTTTTTTTTTTTTTTTTTTTTAAATACTCGATTTCTTTCTGTTGGGCCTTTACCAGTTGAGCTATGTCACTCCTTCAAAGTTTTTTTTTTTTTTTTTTTTTTTTAAGAATTCAAATGTCTTGATTGCATTTGAAACACAAGCAGTTGACCTAGATACCAATTGATAGGTTTGTTTACAAGACAAGATAGTTAACTGGAGAGGCCGTGACATCCGCCACTTTTTTTTTTTTTTTCTAATTTTAATCTATTCAAAGTTAATCTGACACTTTTTTTTTTTTTTTTTTTTTACCCTCAGAAAATAAAACTACGCATTCGCTAGTGTTCTTAAAAATCTTTGTTGAATGTGTCATAATTTGATAAACTCTCCAATTGATATTTCGAACTTCTCTCACGTTCAATTGTCAAAAAAAAAAAATGGTCGGTAAATAAGTTTTAGAATTTTTTTACAAACCATGTTCCAAAAAGTAAGTTTACCTGTGAAATGCGAAACCATTTTTAAAAATGACAAATCTTTCTTGAAGCCTTTAAAAATGAATTTAAATTGATCAGATTTTTTTTTTTTTTAAATAGCTAAAATTTTCTCAGCACAACGTAATTCCTTTTAAAGAAAATCTTTCAAAAATATACTGGGAATCTTTGAGAAATATTAGCTAATTTAAAGTTTTAAACAATTATGACTTGCTTTTATCGCAGAAAAGCAATTTTTTAACACGAAGGTTAGTGTTTTTATGCTGACAGCGCTATTGACAGCCTGATGTTTGTGGAAATGTCTTCTGAGATTTATTGCATTTTTTTATCTTGCGATTTAGAGCAGATTTTTCGGTAACTGAGGAGAAATAAAAGAAAGCACACATTTCAGTAACCAAAATTTTGAATTTTCTAAAAAAAAAAAAAAATTTAAAAATCAAATTCCTCTGGTTTTTTCCTCAAAAATGATTTTGACAATTAAAACTTGGCTTTTTATCAAGTTTTTAGCATTTTTTCATCATTTGTGCCTTTCTTTTATTTCTCCTCTTTTCTCTCTTCTCTCTTTCTAATATTGTCCAATTTTTTTCAATCATCATCAACAACAGGTTTAGAATTCTAGTTGATTCATACAATAATAACAAATCAACAGCTAATTAATTTATTTTGCAACCTATAATACTTTGAAAATAAATATTCTCCATAGTTATCAAATCAATATTTTTCATTCATTTTAAGTAACATAAATTAAACCAAGACTAAATCTTGAAAAGTTATTTGAAAATCTTGTTAATTTCTTTTAAGTTATTCATTAGAATTTACTTTATTTCACATTTGATAATTGAGTATTAATTGGTTACAAATACTTAATTGTTCTCTAATCAAGAAGAGTTTTTAATTGAACTATTGAACTGTACCAAAATATTTATCTCTAACTTTCCCAAACCTGGGTTATCTTTTATTTGTTAGGTATTTTATTACTTTTATGTTTCATCATTAGTCAATCTTTTCCTTCAGCCATTTAAAAATAAAAAAAATGGTATAATTAGCTCTCAGCAAAATCCTTAATTCAAATCTTCGGACTTGAAAGTTCATCTTTCATGGATGACGCCTAAACCATTTCAATCATGTAAACTTTCATAACCAGCACCAGTTCTCATCTATGACATTCTGTCATTTCCTTTATCTGATGAGGGCAGTTTTTCATTTTACAGTTATGTCAAATAAATCTACTTGAAGACTAATGACATAACAGAATTCTTTATTTTACCCAAGCAACTTAAGCAATCATGGCTCTCCACAATTTCCTGTTCATTGTAGCTCTTAATAAACTTTGTCTTTGTTATTTCTCCTAAATCCTGTTCTGACATCCATTTACTCAATTTCACTAAGTATGTTATGCTTTGTTTTCCTCTGTCCTGTGAGAGTCAGATTTTCCAAGTCTTCCTTTCTCATGTGCTCCAACTATTTCTTCCTGATGTTTCCTTTTTATTTCTATTTTCTCTTAAACTTTATCATTGCTCACATGTTTGGTCTCCTCAGCATCTTTCTGTAGATCCACATTTCTGTTGCTTCAAGTCTCTTCATCTTTGCAGTGATTTTCCAACACTCAATGCCATACAGGAGGACAGATATCATATAACATTTTAGTGCTTTTTTCTTTATTTCTATTGAAGTTTTTCTATTTCTTTGCACGCTGCTTAACTTTCGATTCATGACTGGCAGAAGATTCCCACAGTAGGTAGCCATTTCTTTCTGCAGTAGACTGGTTGCCAACCAAGGCTAAAGAACCCAGTCCATTCTGCAATTCAACCCATACCTGGGAGGAGAAGAGTTGGATTCAAACCTTTCACAAGGATATTTGTGTGTGAGTGAATCTAATGAACTTGATTGGAATTTGAACTCGGCTATTTATATTTGCCTTTCAGTTGACCGAATAAATATGCCAATATAAAAAGGACCAATGTATTCTTGGTGAACTGATAATAGAACATAGAATTCACTAAACATCTTAAAATAAGCTAATCCGATTATTTAATTCTATGCATGAGTGCAGGTTGATGTCATATGAAATTACTTTCATTTGTTTAAAATAAAATCTATCTTTCTTTAGGATCACAATGCAAGCTCCCTCATTTAAGCAGTAGAGTATATCTTCTCTTTGGAAAGATCTTATCCTAACATTCATTTTCATTTCACCCCATTAATGCCCAGTGTAAGCAAAACAAAATTCTACGTTTCTAAGAATTTACAATTATTGGTTTCTAAGAAGTCTTTTATTAAGGCCCTG